TCTCCCTGGTTTGAGTATTTCACTCGACCGCTGCCACCCTATCTGTGCTACTCTAGGCGTTATTCGCCCTCCCCTGCGTCTGTGTGGCTAATTCGAGGCTCAAACCTCTGAGTAAGCCTCATGGTCAAGCCTTTGCTTGATGGACCACGTCTATGGTACAACAGAACCACTCTCAGCCAACTAGCTCCAGTCTCCGCCGCGTCTATCCTGTTTCTATCACTAATACCATGGAAATAAGGGAAATATTTTAGATTCAATTGAAACTCTATTTAGCCTACTTCCCCATTCGCATCGTTAATGCATAGGAAAAATAAAAGTATTTATTCGCGCATTAAGGATACATATAGCAGCAATATTGCATTGTCCATCTTGCTAACAGACTGGGGTGATCAGCGAAATATAAGATTTAAATAAAAATTGATGTGTTTCTAAAAAGTATAATATTCAGCGCATTAAAAACTTTGTGTTTATAAGGTTTAAAGAAATATTATAAAAACACTCAATCCAAGCCAATTTATCTGAAAAGATTATAACTATAGGATCGCTTAAAAATGTCAAAGGTCTAAAAATCGACAAAACAATAAACAAAAACTTGCTGGCCGAGAGACTCTCTTCGCCGTTGAGCATATGACCACTCTGGCTTCCCGCCATGCCTGAAGAGGACATTCGGCCAAGTCGACTGGTTGTCAATGGACGCAGCGTTACACCAACATGAGGCATTTTCTCCAATTCGGCAAGAGTAGCTGTTGTATCTATCACTTCGTCGTCTCGACTGTTCTCATCATAGTATATGGCTGTTTCGAATAATAGGAAAATAGGATCGAGAGATAAGCCCATAATATGGTAGTAGACAAGAATAGATGACAAGATTATTGCGCAGAGAAAGCTCTAAAGATGGAATCCAAATGCAATAAAAACTAAAAACAAACCTCGAAAGTGAGAGATGAATATAATCTGAACGCTCAAACAGAGTATAATGATAAAGTTCAACATTTCACAGGCTTCCGCCTTGCCTTCAGATGCTCAGTAATCATCAGTCTTCTCGGTAAAAGCATAGCAATATGCCGTCCTGAACAGGAGTTAAGACTTCGTGTCTCCGTAGTCCGTTAGGTCTAATGATTACATTTAATGAGGGACCTCAAAGTGAAGCCATTTGACTAATCCTATTAGGAAAATTCCTTAGAG